GAACCATGGCGAGGCTCTAGGGCGAATCCCTCCGTGGTACTAAGCTTTCGTCGAATCCTTAAGAACTCGTGCTTTTATAGCCTTTGCGCATTGTGCAGCTGGACGTACGGTCTCGGTGGTGTGGGCATGCAAAGACCAATACAAAGCAGTCCAGAATTGTATGAAATCATAGTAAGTGTCGTATATTGTACCGGTGGATGTGTTGCTAAATCGTCCTGTCGTGTAGTACGAGCCCTGAACGGATGGAGGAGTTGAGAAGAGAGTATGTGAGGCAACGAGACATCCACGGCACCGAAACAATATCCGGCCAGACTGCTCAGCACTAGACGTCACAATTACATACACACCATCAATGCATGACTAACTATTTTCTTTGGTAAATACACTGGTTTTCACCACTGGATGCTCGTCAACAAGTCATGTAATTTGTCACCCATCCCGCTTTCACTCTCAAGTTATCACCGTACCCTTATATCGAGATTTATGGAGAACAAGGTACATGGTGACGAGAGGTCTTTATTATGGAACAGTAAATTTACACTAGGTTGCATTGCCTACTTCACGTCGAGCCCACATGTCGAATATGGACACTGCTATAGGGCTTCTCGTATTGATCAAGTGCATCCATAACTAAATTTGACTTTTTAGGGCTCCTTGTTGGCTACGTAGTTGATATAGGTTTTGTTCCTTGATGACCACTACGGCAACCAGAAGAGATTAGCCGTAGAGCCACGCCATGGATCTTACCTTTAACTATGTCGTCGCATTCCTTCAGCGCTCTCGCCTTTGTAGACTTCATCAACGCATCTTCCTCACGTCTTGACAAGGTCTCCATGCAAATGTTTGACCGGCCCGCGTCTGTAATCGAATCAAGTTTAAGAGAATGTCGAGGTCGCCTCCCAACGTATGTAGGATTTTTTAACGTCAAGTTGCAGCTACAACTTTGCCACATCAAGTTGACCACTTTGATTCAATCTAAATTCATCAAAATGTGTACGCGTATGCAACGCTAATTAGCAAGCCTCCTCGTCATCACCCGTCTTTCGGCTTCATTCGCTCATTTACATTCCCGTACTTACGTTGTCCGACCCTTGACCACTGGCAAATGAGTCACACATATTTACAGAGGAGCCTCGGGAGCCCTCGGTCTCAAGAGAATGCCACGTGAAGCCTCATCAAAGTCAGCCATTCTCCGTTGACGCTGTTCGGAGGATATATATAAACAGGGAAAGTTGCCCGAGATCTTGCCCTTCTTCTGTTTTCCTCCCCTAGCGTCTTTACGAGACTTTTCTCGCTGGGTTTGTAGGCCTCGGCGCTTTGTGTCTTAAAGGCTGCCACTGCTCAAAGAGACTGCGGCGCCTTGTCACTGCCCTCTCAATTTCGCATCGTACTGAAGTACTCGGAGCTTTAGCGGTTCGGTTCAGGGTGAGACGTTGTGTGGACTTAGCGGCCACTCCATCAACGGGTTTCAATCGGCAGTCTCCAGTTACGAGGCTGGCGCGCACAAGTTCTCATAGTTCAGACCTAACCACCTCAAGCTCATCACCTGGAAAGCTCTAAGAAGACAAGATGGAGCAAGTACCATGGGCAAGAGCGAATAGGCAGGAGAATATCCCAGTCCGGCCACAAACGGCGCTTCCGGTCGGCAGTGCAAATGGGAAAGGACTTACAGACCTGTCTAGGTATCATTATTCTCCAAGTAAGACAACTACTCGTATTCGAAGAGTGGTTGATTGATGATAGTTCTTTACAGGTGGCCCAGCCATTATGTACCAGCAAGCAGGACCATACCAGTCCTTTTCTCCATCAGTGACGCCCTACGAACCTATGATACATGATTTAGGTTATGTTAATGACCGTAGTAGAACGGCTGTTTCACCTTTCAGTCATTCTCCTAATGCATTGTCCTGGGACTCTGGACAACTACACGTACCGCCCACTTTTAATTCACAATATTCTCCTTATGCGACTGGAACTCCAGAGCAACCAAGACGACCAATGTCATTTTCGGTGAGGTTTTAGACCCAAAATAGTGTACTTCCTTTTGTTGATATCTTTCAGGCTGGTAACCCAGGTTCTTATCCAGACTCTTTGAGCCCGGTTTGTGTTGAACCAACCTCTCTGACCAATGAACGTGACTAATTTACCCCAAAAACCGTAGACAATGTATCCCGATACCCCAGAAAACTCGATATCCTCCTGGGATAGTGGCGCCTCTAATTCCTTTGATGGCTATGCCACTGCGTATACCAGCGGTGGCAAACTGGCGGCGCCAGCCCGCAACCGATCACGAAACACACCACGTCACTTACAGCACCAGTACCTCGATACGCTCCTACGATCGCGGTGTCCGCCGCACTGTCTTACTGCATTGAATTTGGCGATACAATGGCGGGATGAGCATTTACCGACAGAACCAATTCCCAACAAACTGCTAGATGAACTTTTAGAAGGGCCAAAAGAAGACAAATATTACTGCTTTTGCTGTCCGCACAAGGCCAGAAAGG